TAATTTTCTCTAAGTTTTTTTTTAACTTTAATTTGTGATACGGGAAGTTCCAGCAATTTGCCCTGAGGCAAATGTTTTTTATGATAGCTGCCATCAATACACTAGGGTTTGTCGGTTTTCAAAAACCGGTTTTGAAAACCAGTTTTTTGGCGAAAATTATGGAATTCGAAAACCGGTTTTATAGTGAAAAAAGTCGGTTTTCACTGTATAAATGAAAAATGACAAATATAGACAAACATAAAAGATAGATGAAAGCATTTTGATTCTTGAAATCACATCATTTCTATAGCATTTGATTGGTTCCCAGAAATTGTATATAATAATTTTGATTTTTATACCAGTGTATATATTAATTTAATTCAGTGTGACTTCTTCTTGAAGAAGTAACTTCCTCTACTCAAACTTTAAAAAAAGAGTTTTAAACCTTGGAAGCCACAAATAAAACAACAAAAAACTTGGAATTATCATATCAGGCTTTAAAAACAATTAAGCATAATTTGGTCGCAAGTATGAGAGTATTTTCTATTACAGGAAATTTTGTGAGTAAACAAAGGACACGTCTATGTAGAAATTCGATAGACGTTCTCAGTTTTTTGAAATCGTATTTTATTAAACAAAAAAAACAATTAGAATGTTTAAAATTAGTTAATTAAAATTACTCGGAACAGACAATATTATTATTATATTTTATTAAACAAAAAAAACAATTAGAATGTTTAAAATTAGTTAATTAGTTAAATTAAAATAACCCGAGTTTAGCTTAATTATTTTTAAAACTAAAATTGATATTAAAAGTATGTATCAAAATGTATCTAAAATTTTTTTTTTTTTTTTTTAATTTAATGATTTTTTTTATTTAGAAATGTATTATTTTTATTTATTCGAAAACTTTCCTTTCACTACCATAACAATATTTTCATTCTTATATGTGAAAATGATGAATACGAATAATTATTTTCAGATTTATTTAATCAAGATAAACTATAATTTCTTAGTTCTACTAATTATAATTAAAATAAATTTGTTTACTATCTATAAAATTGAACAATAAATAAATTCAGTCAAATACTGCTCTAAATTAACTAAATTTGCGGATAAATTACAGAATGTTCGAGCAAAAATTTATTTTCTATATAAAATTCGAAAACCGGTTTTTTAGTAAAATTAAAATTCGAAAAACGGTTTTCTGAAATGTCGGTTTTTGTATAAACCCTAATACATACTATCAACCTTTTGCGGGTTGACGTTGACTTGTGGAACTGCATTACTAAAAATATGAGGATTTGTCTAATATATTAAAGCTTGGTCATCTATGTTTAACATTTTACAAGTCTTTTTACTTTTAGTACTGGTAAGGGTTTTTCCTTTGCTAAAAACGCAAGGCGAACTAGTGGCCGTGTGCGGAAACGGCGGTGTCTATAAATAAAATCGCACCGGATGGCGTGCTCGCTCGTTCGGACAGACCGAGATAAGATACCGGACTAAATTGTTCTAAAGAAAAGACATAAGAACCTATCTACCTACATACTTACATAGACACCTAGAAAAATATTCACTAATGGCATCTAATTGTACCCCTTTTACTTACCCTGAGTGCTGTATTTTAATCAAACTCTGTGTAAAAAACAGACACGATTAATTGATTTCTAAAGTTCAAAGTGCATGATACAATCAAGTACGAATAAAACGATCTTAAAATAACAACAAGAACAATATTCCATAATATTCAACTTAGAACAATATGAAAGTATTATTTAGTAGGGCTGGGTGTGGCACAATGGTCCAATTTGACTCGAGGCAAAAAACCTACTTTTCTAATACCCTAATCTTAAGGGGCATACCTAGTGTGAAATTTTCAGAAAATCGAATTTTGAATTTTTCCATATTTCGATAGGTTATACCTTTAAAAATAATATACTAAAATTTTAAATCTATTTTTAGTTACAGCATACAGCCATTTCGGTTGTCCGAAAACCTTGTAGATTTTTTTATATATTTATGTTTTCAAATCTCAATTATCTATTCAAGGATTTTTGCAGTTATATGGAAAGGAATTTTTCAATAACGAACATATATCAAGGGGCACAACTAGTGTAACCGCCTAAAAAAAGATGATTTTTGGGAATTTATATTAAAAAAACTACTTCATCAATCATTTCAATCATTCAAGAATATATTTATACATGTTTTAAGAATACATAGCAAAATTTTTGAAGAAAAATAATAAATATTTTTTATGTTATCGTCGATCTCCAACGGCGCGACAAAAAAAAGGCCCTTCACTGCTGCAGTGATTCCGGCCTTCGTGGATGAAATTAAAAAAAAAATTCTCGTTAAACAAGATAATATTTTCTGTAAAATGAACTACGATAAAGAAAAAAAAAATCCAAAATTGACAAAATGACGACGTTTTTTAAAAAAACGTCGAATTTTGGCCAAAATTTTGGTCGTTTTTGGACTGCCAAAATTCGATTTTTGATTCGATCAAAAAATCGATAGTTCATTTTACGAAAAATTTGATAGTGATCGGATCATTTGTTTTTGAGTAATGGCTGCAGCAAATTCGGAAAATGCTGTTTCGAAAAAAAAGGCATTCACTAGATAAAATGATCGTTATACTATATATATATATACTCTTTAAATGGCTGTGACTCGAAAACTATTTAGGATATCGATTTAAAATTTTGGTATATTATTTTTAAAGGTAAAACCTATCGAAATATGGAAAAATTGAAAATTCGATTTTTTTAAAATTTCACACTAGTTGTGCCCCTTAATAGTGAATATAAGCATAAGTAAAACCTATAAATATGACTCAATATTGAAGTAATAAATATCAGCACTAATAATAGTATAAGTACTAATGTTTCTATATTTATTTATGATTCTATATTGATTTACACTTTTTGCCTTTTCTATATTATAGTATACATTTTTGACTATTTTTATCGCGTATTGTTTGAGTTTTTTATATATCCACATATGGCGTTCGTGATAATCTTAATGCACCTATTATTTTATTTCATTGCCGAAGTAAAGTATCAGGGCCGCATCAATAAATTCGCATTCACAAAATCTTTTTAAAGAACTAGTTGTAAATGGCACTTCAAGGTGTAAGGAAAGTTACTTCTTCTTAAATTTCATTAGTCACCGAGGCATTTTTTTAAGAAACTTAAATTATTTTGTAAAAATTAAATATTTGCTACAAGAAAGTATTGACACAGTTACAATCCAATATTTATTTATTTATTTGAGTTAATGGTAATATTTTTTACACAACCATAAGAAATTTTTGTATATGCTCTGTTGGGTGGCATTGATATGAAGAATCTATTTAGATAATTATCTTTAGTTTAGTGTGATCATTGTCTCTTATTGTATAAGTTTTATGACAATCATAAAAAAAAATCCAATATTTAATTGCTACGAAGGCACAGCCAATTTTCACCAAAAACAAATCTTTAAAATCTTTAAAATCAGGCTAAAAGTTGGATGAAAACATTTTTGCAATTTTTGTCAATTGTGAAAAAAACAGCTTGGCCAATCATCCTGCAAACTAATTAATTGCAACTTATATTATTAAGGTACATTGAATAAATTTCAAATTTTTGAAATCGGTCCAGACGTTTACGAGAAAACTTGAAAACGCAAAATCAGAAAAACGGCTCACATACACATACACACACATAATTTTGAAAAGTTATTCTCGTTTGATTCAAATAAATGTTTTGCAACTTTGAGAACATTGATTAATTAGCAAATAGATTTTTTTAGGGTAAACAAACACTAAAGGATAGAGTAGACTTCATAGTCTACGCCTAGTTGTCTTGCATATTTTTAACTACCCATAGTGTAAGTTATTGTGATCGTCCAAAAATCGAAATTGAAATATTTTGCATTTCTTTACGTTTTAAAGGTTTCTGAACAATTTTTCGCCCACGGTTCCGGCGCACGAATCAATCGATTTGAATGATTTAAAAAACATTCGATTTCTATTGATGAGAAGTAGCAGTAATTCACTTTTAGAGAGAACGGAGTACCCGATTTGAATGATTCAAAAAACATTTTACTTGTATTTACAAAATGAAGAATCGATTAAATTATTGTTAAGGCAGGTCTTATTATTATTGTTATCTGTATTTTGGAGATACAGAGGAAAAACTAAAAAGAATGATAATCGGCGGTCATTAGACATCTGTTTATAAAATTATCAATTATTTTATAACAATTCTAAAAATGAGTGCAATCTTTGTCACAATGTTCGGGGTTCCGTACCAAGATTTCAAATGTTTAAAGTTCACTTATACGATTCAAGCAAATTTCAAAATTTTTAGAAAAAAAAATTCAAAATTTAAAAAAAAATACAAAATTATATATATTAAATATGAATTTTAAATTTACAATTCTGTTTCAAAATGTATTTATCTCAAATGCGTTATTCTAATTGTAAGAAATATATCCTCAGATGGATTCATTCATTCACCTCCTACTAATGTAAACTTTCTCAAGTAAGTTAGATAAGATCGTCACACTTGATGGCAGTATGTTTTAATAGCTCTTTTCATACGTTAATTGAAACAAATATATATAATGATATTCTCAGAATTGGTGTATACAATTTGTATCTTTATGTAAAATTCAATGTATGTATTTAAGTCAAATAAGGCAAATTTTCAAATTAAAATTATTAATTAGATCGTCCCTGTATATTTTATGAATGATAAAATATATAGTGATTATAGATATCTATTTGAATATGTATAAAACAATTGTTGTAAATCATTGATCAATTTTTATTGATTACTGATGTTTTTCTTCGAAAATTTAGTTCTGGTACGCTAAGTCCCAGCAATTTGTCTTAAGGCACGATGCCATGTACCACTAATTTATTTATCTATTATTACCTAATTCTACTGATTGCACCTCTGATCTTCTAAAATCCATTTTTGGTCTCGTGTATGACATCAACATTGAATCGATGATGGTTCAGTGGGCATTATTGGGCGCTCCTATCGCCCTATATAAATTTATTTAAGAATCATTTAAGAAGTTAGTCAGTCATCATGTCACTTGCGGGAACTTCGGATGTTGAAAACGAAGGTAAAATCGAAATATCTATCTTTATCCGTAAATTATAGTGAAAACGACCAAAACATCTATATAGTGAATATGGGAAACACGTGCATTGATGAAAGTGATCCTTTAAATTTCTTTTATATTTTTTATTGACTGAAAAGTGCTTCTGATATCATTGAATTTGAAAAATAAATTAAACAATTTAATTAAACAATATTTGTGGAATGGCTTGACTTGTGCTTTTAGTCTGTTCTAAACTATATCAAATATTTATCATCTTAATGCTTTAGTATATTAAACAAAACGATATATTTTTGTATATTTTTTAAAAGCAAAAAAATATTTTTATCAGTTGAAATGTTACATGTCATAGCCTATGTTATAGCATTTAAAAAATTCAAGTTAATTTTATTTGTATTTTAAATTATAAACAGAATATTCTGAGAAATTATTTGGTATGTCAGTGATTTGAAGAGTTACATTTGTGCAAACTTGATAGTTATGGTTCTTCTTGTAATGGTTTACAAAAAAAGTTTAAATCACTATTTTTATTATTTTTTTTTTAAATCACATAAACTAAACACCTGATATTAAGAAATTATATTAAAGTTTTTGATATTAAGAAATTATAAAAAGAATTTTATTAGTAGAATAAGGCAAACTTTCGTTGTTTTCAATTTATTATAGTCAAATATTCACATTGTGATATTTAGGGAAAAATATGACCCGACAAGCGTTGTTTTGCCATAAAAATTATTTCTAGTATAAAATGTTTAGTACGAAAATAACTAACTGATTACAAATGTGGTACACGAGTGAAAGGAGCAGCTAAAAAAATATATAAATAGTTTACCCACTGCAAAGCATACCACATATAAATGTCCCTTAATAATAGTCTTTGCAAGTGCCTACCTTATGTGAAACCGATTCTATTTAAATTGAATTGGCACATTTAATGTTTCAAGGTTTTGATATTTTATTACCGTACATATTATTAATTCAGTCATTTTTAAATTACAAACAAAAACTGTTACATCTATAGGTTTTAATATTCAATATTTATTTTTTTGAAAGAAATTGCTCCTTATGCAAACCATGCATTAACTATGTGCTATTTATGCGTATCGGGAAATATTTGTACAATGGGAAAATGGGAGGAACGAACAACCCTTGATAAAATTAATTTGTTTTTTGTTTTGTTTAAAATTTATTGACTTTGTCGTAAAATCAGAAAAATAACAATTAAAATTCAGTATACAAAACACTCACTGACTGAAAGTGTGGTGAAAAATTATTTGATTACTAAAATAGCTATTATGAAATAGAGATTTATGGAAGGACGGTAAAAATTTAGATTTTGTGCATTTTTTAATTTCGCATTATGAACATTAAAATTTAAAGGAAAATTAATCCAATTTTTTTAAAAAAGTTATAGGTGGACAACCCTTGATAAAAATAAATATTTTTCAATTTCGAATTATTGAAAATTAAAATAAAGCAAAATGGTGCCAAAAATTAAACAAATGTTAGGTGTGGACAACCATCGATAAAAATAAATAGTATTTTAAAGTAAGATATGTGAATTGTAGGTATTTTTCAACTTCGCATAAGAAAAACAAAGAAAATTTACCTCAAAATTGAAAAAAGTATTGGAATTGGACAACCATTAATACTGTTTTTTCTTCGAGCTTAAGAATCTGAACAAAATCTATCTAAAACCTATCTATCCATGCCCATCGTTCAATCCCTGGGACCTCCCCTTAGAGGACCCAATAGAAAAATTGCATCATTTTTGGTACGTCAACATGACAAAAATCAGCAATTTATTTTCATTATAATATTTATTTATATTATTATGTGAGACTTATAAATTATTGCTTAAAGTCTTTTTTGGTTTCAAATCTGGAAAATTTTGCGCGGCTCTTCAATATCGGAACCATAACAGCCTCTAGCTAGCATAGAAGCGCAGAGACAAAATGCATTGTAAAAATTGAAACAAAAAAATTTTACTTTCTTTTTTGTTAAAAAGTATTTTGCGTGTGTATGAATTAATATCCAACTAGTTGGTTTGGTATTTAGCCTTGAGGCAAGTTACATGAACTTCCCGATATGTGTAAATAATCGACTTGATCAAAAAAATGTGTAAATAATATACTTCATCAATCCTACTTTAAAAAAAAACGATAATAATTTTAGCAAAGTTTGACGAATTTTTAAAATTAAACTACTTGTTGTAAGGCCGTAATATTACAGTAAGTTCTATAACACCATGATGTATATCGCCAAAAAAAGTTCCATGAAAATCGGCTTAATTTTTTTTTTTCAACAGTTAATTACAAGAAAACGGCTCGGTAGATTTTCACCTAAAACTAATCAGTACCATTCCCAACTAATATCTTTCGAACAGTTTTTGATTTTTTAAAATCGGTTCGGTAGGATGAGCTTAAATGTGGACGAAAAGTTTAACACTTTTTTTCAAATTGCAAAGAAACGGCTTGGCAGATCGTCACACAAAACTGACAAACGATAGTCCTCCCCGAAATACATCAAATAGCTTTTAAATTTCTAAAATCGGCTCAGGCGTTTTTGAGAAAACGTCGATCAAAGGTCTAATTTTGACAAATGCCAAAAAAACGATGCCAATTTTTGCAAACTTTGATGAATTTTTAAAGCTGAACCAGTTGTCGTAGGGCCGTAATATTTTAGTATGATATAGAAGACTATGGTATCTACCGTCAAAAAAATAATCATAAAAATCGTCGAAATTTTTTTTTAAAATCTTTATTACAAGAAAACGGCCCGGGCGATCTCTACCAAAAACTAATCAGCACGATTCCCAACCAATATCTTTCGAACGGTTTTTGAATTTTCAAAATCGATTCAGAATTGCGGGCTAAAACGTGGACGAAAAATTTTTCACTTTTCTGCAATTTACAAAGAAACGGCTTGGCCGATCGTCGCACAAAATTGACAAACAATAGTCCTCATCGAGATACATCGAGTGGTTTTTGAATTTTTGAAATCGTCTAGCCGTTTTCGAGAAAACGTAGATTTACGGCAAAAAATCTGTTCACATACACGCACACACACATACACACAAACACACACACACACACACACATACTTTTTCCAAATTTGATCTCATTCGATTCAGAATGGCTTGAAACGTCGAGAAAACATAAAATTAGCAATTCGGATTTTTTGATGAAAACATAAACTTCTCCTTCGGGAAGTTAAAAAAATGGGTTGAAAATTTTTTTTTTGCATTGTAATATACCAAAAACGATGATTTTTTGCAATTTTTGTTTGGGACACCTCTAAGGAGAGATCCCATGGGTGGATCGGCCTTCCGAAGTTAGTGGGACTCGTTCATACATTTGGACGCGATTAAAAAAATTAAACCCTCAATGCATGGGACATCAAAATTTATTTTAGAGGTATGGTTTCTTCAGCAAAGTATCTTATTTTGATCCTTAGTATCCAAAAATCATATGTGCCTAAGCGACTTTTAAATCGACCTGCCCCAATATATATATATATATATATATATATATATATATTTATAGGCGGTTCGGACTACCGAACATCAGCAACCCGGCCGAGCGGCCTAAGGGTAGGCCTTACTGGAAGATCTCCGAGCAACGGCGGCTTTAAGGCCAGCACGCGCCTTTCGCAAGACAAACTCGCACTATGGGATAATTCGCCTTCGAAAAATAGAAACCACCACGATTCGGATTCTGATGTATCAGAAACTGATCACTTTCTAACGAAAGGTGAGACATTCATAATTATATAATATGTACACTTAAGGGGCACAACTAGTGTAACCGCCTAAAAAAAGGTTATTTTTGGGAATTTATATTGAAAAAAATACTTCCTCAATCATTTCAAAATTTTAAGAATATATTTACACATGTTTTAAGAATACATAGTAAAATTTTTAAAGAAAAAAATTAAATATTTTTTAAGCTATCGTCGATCTCCAACGGCGCGACAAAAAAAGGCCCTTCACTGCTGCAGTGATTCCGGCCTTCTACGTGGATAAATTTAAAAAAAATCTCGTTAAACTAAATAATATTGTCTGTAAAATGAACTACGATAAAGAAAAAAAATCAAAATTGACAAAATGACGGCGTTTTCTAAAAAAAGTCGAACTTTACCCAAAATTTTGGTCGTTTTTGGACTGCCAAAATTCAATTTTTGATCCGATCAAAAAATCGATAGTTTATTTTACGGAGAACTATTTATAGAACATGTAAAAAAAAATTGTAGTGATCGGATCATCTGTTTTTGAGTAATCGCTGCAGCAAATTCGGAAAATTCTGTTTCGAGAAAAACGCGTTTAAAGATTAAATGTTCGTTATACTATATATTGTATATACTCTTTAAATGACTGTAACTCAAAAACTATTTAAGATATCGATTTAAAATTTTGATATGTTATTTTTAAAGGTAAAACCTATCGAAATATGAAAAAATTGAAAATTCGATTTTTTGAAAATTTCACACTATAGTTATGCCCCTTAATTGAAATCATTGACAATATAACAGAAAATTGCTGAAATTCCTTCAAAATTACTGAGTTGACTAGTGGTTTGATTTTCATATTTTTTTATTTCTGCCATATAATTACTACATAATTTGCGTAGGAGCTTTCCTGTTAACACCATCGCACGATTTATCGATGGATCGAGCAGCTGGAATTTGTGAAAAAATGAACTTTAGGGGATGCTTCAGTCTAACAAAAACAGCAACCGGAATCCTTTTCAAATTTTCAGATACTCAAGACTACCAAGCCGTTTTTAGAAAGGGATTTCACAAAGTAACAGGAGCGCGATTCTATCGCAAAGTACGTATAAAATTTAATATTTTTATCAAGAATCCTCTTAACTATGAATTTTTTTCTACAGGTTCCCATACCCTGTCGGCCTCAAAAAACATTCACTTTGTATGTTTTGGATGTACCAGAAAATTTACCAGAAGAAGATGTTCGTCACTCATTGTACAAATTTTCTTCAGTGGTTGAAGTTGTGCGATTGTACCCACAAGGTGATAATTTTTGTTTACTTTCTAATTTTCCATGAAATTTAATCAGTTATCTGTGATTGACGAATATACTCGTCATGAAGAAGTGGCTGGATTTTTAATGTTGACGGGTGTATTCGTCATTTGTATTATATAAACTAGGGTGTATGGCATCGTGCTTTAAGGCAATTTGCTGGATCTTCCAGTACCGTAATGAAATATTCGAGGAATATTAAATGTTTTCAAATATATTATTATAAATACTGTAACTTATATCTTTACAGAAAAGTAAATAAACAAAATTTATCGATCGAATTTCGAATTTAAATGAAGGACATCGTCTAATATTTTAAGAATTATATAAACTGAATAGCAAAGTTAGCATTATTCATTTGAAGTATATAAGACAGTTTTAGAACTCTAATTTAAAATTAAAATTGAATTCTGCATTATTTTCTATAAAAAGGAATTTTTTTTGAAAACTATTTTTTTTTCTCCAAATGCAATTGTGTTTTGTCAACACAAGCAGAAAGTTTTTGAATCATTCAAATCGGATGCTTAGTTCTCTCAAAAACTGTCATTTTTTTGCACCTTTAGCTCGGTATCTCCAAAACGGCTGGACCTGTCTTCGCCAAAAACTAGTCACCAGTTTTCCGCATCATTATGAATTGAACGTTACAAAATGCGTTTTTTGGAAATTTTATAAAAAATCTTATTTTTTATTTTTAGGAATTTAGAATTTTTTTTTGAAAATTTAAAATATTTTCAAATGTTTGTAAGAAATCGTTTTTTTTTAAACGATTTAAATATTTTTTTAATTTTTTTAAAATGTTTGAAAAATTCCGAAAATTTTAATTTTTTTAAACTAATTTTTTTTTTTAAAGTTTTGAATTTTTTTGAAAATTTTTATATATTTCCAAAACGGCTGAACCTGCCTTTGGCAAAAACTAATCAGCACATTTCCCTGTCAATAGGAATATTTTTTTAACCATTCAAATCGGATGCTCAGTTTCCTCAAAAACTCGATTTTTATTTTCTGCACTTTGCTCCGTATATCGGTGACGGCTAGATCTGCCTTTGCTAAAAACTAACCAACACGTCTCGAAATCAATAAAATCGAATGTTTTTTATTTAAAATTAATTTAAATCGGTTAATACATGCGCCCGTAAACGTGGGCAAAAAATTGCGGACAGGCACACATCAATTTTTTGAATCATTCAAACCGGATGCTTAGTTTTTTCAAAAAACTGCCATTTTTCATACATTTAGCTCTGTATCTTCGAAATTGCTGCATGTGCCTTTGTCAAAAACTAATCACCACTTCTCCCCATCATTACGAATTGAATGTTTTTTTAATTATTCAAATCGGATACTCAGTTCTCTCAAAAACTCGATTTCTATTTTCTGCACACCTTTGCTACGTTATCTCCGTAACGGCTGGCCCTGCTTTTGCCAAAAATTAATCAGCACATCTCCTATCAATAGGAATCGAATGTGGACAAACAATTGTATCCATATATTCATACATAAAAACACATACACACATACACATCTTGGGCGGTATTGAGTCCAACATACCCAGACAGAACACCGGTCTGGGATGCATAAAGGCATTTCCTTTGCTATACAGAAAAAAAAACACATTCACATATATTTTTCTGTGATATGCCAAAATGTTCAGAAACCTCTAAAACGTGAATATATGCAAAAAAATTAATTTCAATTTGTTGGCCCATTAGGGTAGGGCGGGGCTAGTTGAGCAAAATTTTACTTAAACGGATGTAGAATGAAAAGTCTCAAATAATTGCTATACGGCTTAATGGATTTGTTGTTTATCGCTTAACAAAAGTGTTAATACTATTTGTTGGTAATAAGTAAAATTTAAATGCTACAGCTGTTTAAATGCAAAAAAGTCAAGTAAGCTCAATGTACCCCACAGGTGGGGCAAGTTGAGCACTAAGAAAGTATAATGAAATTATAGGTTCAAT